GAGGGGACTTGGGGTCTGTTCCTCCCTAGCCCTGTCTTGGCGCAGGGTCGAGGGGGTGGCTGGGCAGGTGGGGAGAGCCCCCCTGGGGCTGCACTGGAGGAATCCCAGGGTAGAACCCAGGAGTCCTGCCCCCTAACCCTGGCTCTCCCATCCCCATCTAGGTTGGCCCTGCCCCACCCCCAATATACGTGGGGGGCAGCAGCAGCAGTAGCAGTGACAGCGAGGGGGAGCTTGTGAGACCCCCGAGGGGGGCAGCGGGGCAGCCGCGCCCCAAGCGCCGGCGTGTTCTGTGCAGCACCGAGATCCCCGCTGTGCCTGTCTACTCGAACAAGGTAACAGGGACTCAGGCATCCGAGCACCCCCTCTCCCCCAGCACTAACCACCAGATCCCTCTCCACTCTTGGAGCCGGGGATAGAACCCAGGAGTCCGGGCTCCCAGCCCCCCCTCCCCCGGCCATGCTCATCCCTCTTGTGCCCATCCTGAGGCTCGTGCCCCCATGGGGGTGCCCGTGCAGCAGGGCCCTGTGGGTAACATGCCCCCTTCCTCTCCAGGTGAACAGCAGCTTCCAACTGTGCCCCGCGGAGCTGCGCCAGGAGGTGCCCGCCCTGCAGTGGCAGGGAGGTAAGGGGGTGCTAGGGCTGGGCGGGAGTAGGGGGGTTTGGCCTTGGGGAGGTGGGGGCTATGTATGTGCTGTGGGGGAGTGGGAGGAGGCAGCAGGGATACATCTCGGGGGCTGTGTCTGGCCGGGCTGTGGTTGGAGTCCCCACAGGGGTGGTGATGTTTGATGGCCTCCTGTGCCCTTAAAGTCTGAGAGACCCCCCCGATCTGATCACAGACCACAGAATCTCCCTCCGGCTGAGTCACTGACGTCCTCACATCATGGGTTAAAGTTACAGAGACTCCACCACTGACACTAGTTCTAGCCTGTGAGTGACCCGTGTCCCACGCTGCAGAGGAAGGTGAACCCCCCCCCCCCCCCCCCGGTCTCGGCCAGTCTGACCTCGGGGAAAAATTCCTTCCCAACCCCAAATACAGCGATCAGTTAGCCCTGAGCGTGTGGGCAAGACCCACCAGGCAGGTACCCGGGAAAGAATTCTCTGTAGTAACTCAGAACCTCCCCATCTAGTGTCCCGTCTCTGGCCGCTGGGGATTTTTGCTACGGGCAGTCGCACGCCATTGTAGGCAGTCCTGTCATACCAGCCCCTCCACACACTTATCAAGCTTGGGCGTGAAGCCAGTTGGGGGGTTTCCCCACTGCTCCCCTTGGGAGGCTGTTCCAGAACTTCACTCCTCTGATGGTTAGAAACCGTCCTCTAATTTCAAGCCTAAACTTGTTAATGGCCAGTTTATAGCCATATGTTCTGGGTCCACATTGGCGCTTAAGTTAAATAACTCCTCTCCCTCGCTGGTATGTATCCCTCTGATGTATTTATATAGGGCGATCCTATCTCCCCTCAGCCTGCGTCTGGTCAGGCTAAACAGGCCAAGCTCTTTGAGTCCCCTCTCATGAGGGAAGTTTTCCATTCCTCGGATCATCCTAGCAGCTCTTCTCTGCACCGGTTCCAGTTTGAATTCATCTTCCTTACAAATGAGAGACCAGAACATCTTTGCCAGAAGCTGGGAATGGGCGACAGGGGATGGATCACTTGATTCCCTGTTCTGTTCATTCCCTCTGGGGCACCTGGCATTGGCCGCTGTCAGAGGACAGGATACTGGGCTAGATGGACCTTTGGTCTGACCCAGTCTGGCCGTTCTTATACAGTACTCCAGATGAGTCTCACCAGTGCCTCGTATAATGGTACTGACGCATCCCTTTCTCCACTGGAAATACCTCGCCTGATGCACCCCAGGGCTGTTCTCCTTTTTCATGGCCACATCACATTGGCGGCTCCTAGTCCGCCTGTGATCAGCCAATACACCGAGGTCTTTCTCCTCCTCTGTCACTTCCAACTGAGAAGTCCCCAGCTTAGAGCAAGACTTCTTGTTGTTGGTCCCTCAGTGCACTTTGCACTATTAAATATCATCCCGTTTCTATTACTTAAGATTACAAAATCATCCAGATCTTCTTGTAGGATATTCCGGGCCTTCTCCATATTGGCAACGCCTCCCCACTTTGTATCATCCCCAAATTTTATTAGCATGCATCCACTGTTTGTGCCAAGCTCAGTAATAAAAACGAGGGCTGTCAAGCGATTAAAAAAATTAATCACAATTAAAAAATACCTATATGTAAATACCTTGCAAGCCGGCTACAAAAGTGCCATGAGAACACCTGTTCTCACTTTCTGGTGCCATTGTAAACAAGAAGCAGGCAGCAGCATCTCCTGTAAATGAAGAGAAACAAGTTGGTTTATATTTAGCGATTGGCTGAACAAGGAGGAGGCTGAATGGACCTGTAGGCTCTGAAGTTTTACGTTGTTTTGTTTTTTGAATGCAGTTATATAACAATCTACGTTTGTTTAAGTTGCACTTTCACAACAAAGAGATTGCACTACAGGACTTGTATGAGGGGAACTGAAAAATACTCTTTCTTTTGTTTGTCATTTTTACAATGCAAACATTTATAAAAAAAACTGTACACCTTGATTTCAATTACAATACAGAATACAATATATAGGAAAATGTAGAAAAACATCCAAAATATTTAATACATTTCAATTGGTATTCTATTGTTTAACAGTGCGATTAAAACTGTGATTAATCGCGATGACATTTTTTGAGTTAATTGAGTGAGTTAACTGCAATTAATCGACAGGTGTAATAAAAATGTTAAATAAGGTTGGTCCCAAGACCGATCCTTGAGGAATTCCACTAGTAACCTCCCTTCAGCCTGACAGGTCACCTTTCAATAGGGCTGGTTGCAGTCTCCCCTTTAACCAGTTCTTACCCACCTTCCAGTTCTCCTAACAATCCCCCTCTTCTCCAATGTAACGAATAGTTTCCCATGTGCAACTGGATCCAAACCCTTCCGGACATCCGGGTAGATTGGATCCACTGCACTTTCTTGGTCTAAAACATCAGCTCTCTCCTCAAAGAAGGAGCTCAGGGCGGTCTGGCAGGATCCACCTTTTGTAAAACCCGGTTGTAGTTTATCCCAGTTACCGTTCACCCCATGTCCTTAACAACTTCCTCTTTCAAAATTGGTTCCAAGTCCTTGCGTACAATTGAGGTCAAACTAGCAGGCCTGGAGTTTCCCGGATCACGTTTTTTTCCCTTTCTTAAAAACAGGAGCTAGATTAGCAGCTCTCCAGTCATAGGGTACGACCCCCGAGTTTACAGAGTCGTTACAATCCTTGGTGTTGGGCTGGCAATATCCGGAGCCAGTTCCGTTAATGTGTGGCTGTGTGCTGGATGTGTTTGGGGGGGTCGGGGTACGTGCACTGGATGGGGGTTTATTGTCTTTGGGGGGCAGCTGTGGGGAGAGGTGCCCCCTGCCTGGCCATCACAGCTGCTGTCTCCCCCCCCCCAGGGGCGGATCTGGACGTCGATGAGATTGGCCCTGTCACGCCCCCCCGGCCGGAGCGGCCTCACGCCCCACGCCTCCCCCAGGGCCCCTGCACTGACTGGCCGGAGGAGGAGCTGCAGCAGCAGGGGGCAGTGAGAACGTAGGTGGGGGGGAAGGACTGCGGCAGGGTTACCGTGGGGGTGTATGGTGGGAGGGGACAGGACTCCAATGGGAGGTGGGGGGATCGGGGTGGGGGCAGGGTTACCATGGGGGTATATGGGGGGAGGGCTCTAATGGGTGGGGGCAGGGTTACCATGGGGGTAGGGCTGTAAAGGGGAGATAGGGGCATGGCTCAGGCTCTGTGGCCTCTGGCTTTGGGGTCTGTCCCCTGCGGGGGGGGTCACTTATGGGGCACAGCTTCCCAGGCCCCCTTCACAACAGCCCCCATCTCACCCCCTGCGCGCTCGCTTGCTCACACTCTCTCTCAGGGTCCGGGACGAGTCTCCCTCTCCCCCTCCCCCACCACAGCCCACACGCCGGCAGAGGGGCCGGACCCGACGGTGAGTAGCTGCCCGGATGTGGGGGGGGGTGTTGAGGCTGGGTGTGGGGGTCTCTGCTGGAATCTCTGCCCCGTCAGGAGTTGGGGAATTGAGGGACAGGTTCTCTGGGGGGCACCTCTCTTGTAGAGAGCGGGGAGGGTCTCTGGGGGGGATCTGTCTGGGGAGTCTCTGGAGGTGGGGAATGGGGGGAGTCTGTCAGGGGTCTGATGGTACCTGACCCCAGGGAGAGGTGTGTGTGGGGGGGGTGTCTGCAGGGCACAGGGATCTGTGGGGTCTGATGGCCCCTGCCCCCAGGGAGGTGGGGGGGGGTCTGTGGGGGTCTGATGGCCCTGCCCCCCAGGGAGGTGTGTGTGTGTGGGT